TGATGTTTATCATTTTTTGGTTACTTTTTCGACGTGACTCGCATCATTGTAGGTTCATGTCAACTGGCACGCACTCCTGCTGGGAATTCTCTTTAAAAACGATAACAATATTTTGCTTGAAATTTTTAAAATGATTGAACAGGTGTTAAATGTTCCTGTTTAATTAAAGCCATTATTTTTTATTAAGTTTCCTGTTTCAATTAATCGGTCCATGATTACCTTGAAGCAAGCCGTGTCCATGCGTTTATACAGAATATTATGCGTGATTAATCACTAATAAATTCCTACAAATTTTGTTTGTCAAATTCATTTAGGATTTAATTATGTTTGTATTTTCAATATTTTTTTAGTATAGGCTGCTATGAAAGAAATTATTCATTTCTGTCATGCGTGTCAGTCAGCTCACAACTTTTTTTTCCGGTTTCTGCAAAAATATCCTAAAAACGGAAGAAAATACTTTACCATTTATGTTTTTTTGAACATTCTAGAAACATATCCATTAATTTGACTATAGTCGTGGATTGAACGTTTGACGTAAAAAAAGGAATTATTTAATTTTTAGCTTAAATTTCACTTTTTTTATTGTTGGTGTTTGACCAAAGGCCTGTAACAAAAATCGAACGAATATATTTTGAACTGAAATTTAATTTTTATAGCTCAAGTCAAAATCCTGATCTTTGAGGGTGAGAATATCTTTACTTTATCAAAATTGACCATCATCAAATATGTATACCACGTTATTAAATAAAAATACTTCAGCGTTTATTGAATCCCATGTGATATTTTCATACAATTATGACGCTATGACTTTTATTGGTCTTGTAATTCATTATCTTGTGATGACTGGACAATGATTCATTTTGTGTCGAACTCCTGGTACGTGATGAATGGCTGAACGGCTTGTTACCTCTCCTCCATACTTTCATTCCCTGCTACCACCTTATTGCTGTGCTGGTTATTGAACTTATTGCTAAGTTTTTGAATAATATACCATTCTTCTTCTATTGACCAAACTTTTTGCCCAACTTCAAATGCTTTATATTGTATCAAGGGTAAATAAACATAAGGGCAAGCAACTTTCATAATTGTGTATGATGGTAGGTGATCTCTGTGACTCCCACACATGTAAAAATCAAACTTACCATGACCATTAGCATTATAGATCACCATGGATACCATTGAAAGCTTAAAATAATGGTAATTGTGAAGTTACCAGACTGGATTGTTTTCATGATGGCTAAAACTCAAAGTATGCACCTTACAAATACTCAACCTGAGATGACCAATAACTATTTCTCGCACTCAAAATTGTGTGGCGAATCATGTATTTTTTCCGCATGATTTCACTTCATCCTCCTCTTTTCAGTCCCTACATCAAACTTATAATCAAGTTTATTATTCCTTATTCAACATTCACTTTCAACAATTATGACTCGTTATGATTGAAAATTGAAATTTGATCATTTTTTAATGTACCGGTACATGTAAACAGATTTTTAACAGGATGTAATAATTTTGTGGACAATGGTGGAAGTAAAAGGTTATAATTTATGCATTGCTCTGACCATAGACCCTCCAGTAGACTGGAGGGTCTATGCTCTGACCCTATGTTGGTTTCACCAGCAAATCATATTTCTGACAATCCTCCCTCTCCTCTCATTTAGGCTTCCACCCCTATTGACGTAATGGTTCAATCCAAGTGTTGGATTACATGTATACAAAAGAAAAAGCAATATTATGAAACAGCTGGAATATGGTTCAAAAAATTAAAAAAATGAATTATTACATTTACCGGTAATTGTTATAAGAAATAATCACTGATATTTGGATTAACAAAATTGTTCTCGTAATGAGCAAAATTGTTGTAAAATATAGCATCACTATAAAAATTATGAATGTGATTGCCCCTTTTTGAAGGTAATTACTCTTATTATCCTAGTTACATTGTTCGTTTTACTTACATATCTCGGCCAAGGCAGATCACCATACAACTTTGTTTGTATAAATACACTACCAGAATGCCCCAGCTTTGATTTTTTCTATACAGTGACAGATGACATATTGGTAAGTTCTTGGTTGGATTTTCTGAATTATTAATCCACCGCTAAATATAAATCTGCATTAAACAAGGATGTTAATTAAGTTTGATAAAAAATAGTTCATACACTGGATGAAAAGCCTAAAAATTGTCAGTAAAAAAAAACAAGAGGTTTTCAGTGCTATGTCATCTGCAGCCTAAATTTTAAAAGGGGAAAAAAAAAAAGATGTATCATTTTAAATTAAAATGGAGGCAACGTTAATAAGTGTCTTTAAAAAACTTGATTCAAACATGTGGAAGTTTGTTTTGATACACAATCTCCTGAGTGAGTAAAAAATGTTCACTCAACGTGTGCTTTCACATGTCTGACCTATTTACTCCAAAAACGTCACTGAGGAACTATTATATCCTGTGACAATCGCTGTACAGAAGCCTTGGTAAGGTCAGTATTCAGCAATTCCAAATATTCTTGAACAATACAACTTATTCCGCATCAACAGAATCTCTGGTTTAGATTGTTTTGCTTTGTCTTGACTTCTGAATTAATTTGTTGGTGAACAATACCGCCTTCACAATTGAGTCACTCAACATTTCTCCAAGTAGGCGGTTAATAAAATGGCTATTTTCGTTGTCTATTCTGCATTAGTGTTAACATGTTTAAGAGAAGACGCTACAATTTTGTTACGCCATTGTGCATTGTTATTGCTCATATTTTGGCGTCATTGGATGAACAAACAGACTCGATTAAATCTTACCAGTGTTAAGGTCCATATTTACTAATTATGAAATACTGGTAACAAGAAACGCCCCCTGTACACTCACACTTAACACACAATCACGATTGGTTTGTCCCTGAAACTGTACCATCATATGTAAACATATTGAACCTCAAGAAGTAAACGATTCGTCCCTAAGTCATTGTAAAATGCAAATTGTGGGTGAAGGCCTATACATGTACTTGATATGCATGGACGATCGATCGACTACTTGAAAAAAATCGGGAATGTCACAGATACAGCTATGGCCGAATTTCTCCTATGAACCGATTTGAAAAGGATTATTTTATGTCGTGGAGGGACGAGAACAGAAGTAGAAGTCAACAACTTTACAGAGTGGGATTTTTTTACCTGTAAGAACAAAGAAACTTCTTTAAATGTCATCAGAAAGTTTGGGTGTTGTCAAGATAATTTGTTTACCCAAATACAGCAGTCGGCTAGTGTAGCTTCTAAGTCTACCAATTGTTCGGTATTTTTTTCTATTTTATGTTTACACCCATTTGTCTTTGTGTACAAGTGTTTTAATTGTTTGGAGTGTTTATTATAAAGTTCACGGTCTAACGAACTTTATGTGATGGTATATGACATAGTCACACGATATCGATGGCAGATAACAGTATTCTATTGAACTTGAATTTAGAGAATACATTGTGTGTGTAAAGACAGTGGTTATTGCTCTGTGTATTTTATGAGGGTCCTAGGCTATACAGCATATCCAATTACACAAAATTTGAATGCACTTCACAACAACTATACCGCATAACCTTAAACGCACAATAACGCTAATTATAAACTACATTATGTAATCATGACATTTGATTCAGACTGAAAACATTAATGTTAAGTTACAGATGTCATAGTCCCTATGATGTACATTTGATTGATTATCATTATCGTCCTTATCATCTCGTTTATCAATGTTCTCTGAGTGTTGTCTGTTTCATGCATTATACAACATTATATATTATATACTAATGTTTATGGCTATAGAAAATTAACGCCATGACAACAAAAGCTGCGTTCTCACTGGCAAACTCGATCCGGATCGAGATGGAGCTACATGTAAACCTTGGCATGTGCCGAAATCTGTCTGAGAACCCACTTTTGTGTGTTGGAACGCATTTTAGTGGTACCGAAACCATCCCAGTGGCGAACCAGAGAGAGGTTTGCATAGCTCCTTTCATTCAAACTCAAAAAATGGCATTCAGCTAACGCTCTAATCGATTTCTTCCTTCAGTGATATATTGACGTGAGCGCACGGCAAATAGACGGATTTTTCGTTGTGATTTCGGCTTATGCCGACTGGGTCCTGGTATGAACGCATTGTTATTAATCCCTATACAAACATCGAAGATTAACTCTGTTTTGATCCGGATTGAGTTTTCCAGTGAGAACACAACTATTATGTATTTCGCAATAATATACAAAATAACAATGTGTTGCTATGGTAATTTATGATCCAATGCATTGAGATGTTGAGTAACTATATAATTTATTTTTAGTAATAAAATGTGAAAAATAATCATTCAAACTTCAGCCTATAACAATTTCCGTTGAATTAAAGCTAAAAAGAATGGCTTCGTAGTGAGCACCAAATTGTAAACAAGACGTATAATAAATAGTGAAAGACACATTCTGCGAAAATACTGATAATTTCATAAATACTTTAAATAACTTTCGTAAAATTTGGTAAGCCCCTTCAAATTATTAGTTCACTGAAATTGACATTGACCTTGTACTACCAACAGTGATGAAGGCACTAGAAATCATATTGTTCTCCCATGTCAACTTTTTTTACCAGTATATATATTATTAAAGATCAGCTACATTTTATAATTTTATAATGTGAACAATTCTGTAAATTTTTGGCAGGACAAATTCTATCAATTCATGTACTGGTCACTTTTCTTGAGCGGGTTGTCGGTCGATTAAAAGCCTGTAAATTTTTAGGAAAGAAAAAAATTTCTTCAAAATTTATTGTCTGAAATCGAAGCATGTATGTTAAGTGTCATTATAATTAAACCAAAGACACTGGAAAAAGTGTTTAGTGTCTTTGATTAAACTTTTATTCAATTTTTCCTAAAATTCTGACAAGGACCTGAAGAAAACATTTTTGTCTGACTGTGTGGTGAACATTGATATTTTGTTGTCGTCCTAACTATACTTTTCTGTTTTTCTCTTGTCAGGTCTGGACACACGCCAAATGGATCAAGACAAGAAGCACTAAAAATTTTACAGAAAAAAAGAGAAAGTCTCCAAGGCGCAGGATTGCAAAATGGCCATGGAACAACCCGACATAATGGACCTCTCAAAGCAGACCATACCATTCAAGCATATAGGGAAGATAGGTATGTTTAGGAAGAATTCACTCTCAACCTGTTGAACTTGAAAAAAAACTGGTCTGCTTATATAAATGATAAAATCTACTATTTTGTACAATCGTAGCAATCAAAATTTGGTGTCACTCTAATTCAGGTATTTGTGGGATTGAAAGTCTGACATTTGGTTCAAAAAGTGCTTTGAACAAGCATTCTCTGCATAGCAACCATTCGTACAAGTGGCAACGGGAATACATGGAGGTTCTTATTTTGAACTATGTATTGAATATATTTAACTCTTTGAAATTCAACTTGTCACCATTCACAATATATATCTGCATAACTTTTTTCATATTTTTTCTAAATTTTTGATCAAAACCTATAAACAATTAAAAGTTACATCTATTTGATTCAAAATTAACAAAAAGATGATAGAAAAATTCATCAAAATGAAAAATGTTTCACAAATTTTTTGGTAAAATAATTATGGTGTCAAAAAATTAAACTAAATGTTTAAATAAATGCATTTCTATTCCTAATAATATCTGTATTATCCGCTTGAAAAACAGGACAATAACAACTCTATAGATACATGCAATAAATTGGTTTGTGACATAAAACAGTTTTCAAATTTATGAGTATGCAAATAACTGTGAAACACTCACCTCGATTATTGTTGTACTCAAGATCTGACGGAGAGTTAAATTTAGGCCACTAAAAAAAAAACCTTTGTAATGAATAACCTAGCAATATTTCTGGATTATGGGGAAAATGTGAAGAATATTGAACCACAATTTTTTCGAAGAAAAATGTTGTTCAAAGCATTAATTAAAAAATTTTCACAACCTAAAAATTCACTATGATCAATTACCAACCATAGACTCCGGTCAGTCAAAATGAATATTTTGAACTGTAGGCATTAATCTGTGATTCAGCCAATGACAGAGAGAGAAATCTAGGTCTGCCTAAGTCAATATGTGTACATACCAACAATTTTGAAACTTAATTGTGGTATTTTATAACCTGATACATTGCCTGGATATATAATATTTAGTGATTGTATAATATAGTGATTGTAATTTGGATTGCGTATTAAAGATATAGAGCATCCTATCTCATTTGCATAAAATATGGACGGTCATTAACAGTTGAACACCGATTACCGCTATCTTACCCTTTTGGGATTAAGAAACATAGTTGTTTTTGAGCCAACACTATATCTTCGATTTTCAGAATACATTGGTATATAATTACAATTCCACAGTCCATGAATAATTGCCACTAGCCAAATTTTACCTGATATCTGAAACTACCAGAAATAACAGAATTAATATAATTCTACAAAATAATTAAAAAAAAAATATTTTGATAAACCACCAACATATTGAGGTAGTGGTGTATTTTGACATACATGTAGTCAGCCATGATGTCTGAAGTTCAATCTGCTTGCATGGACCAATCAGATTGCAGGAATTTGTTTACAAGGAATGGAGATATATAAAATGATTACACTGCTTTATTACATCTATTATGGGATATTATATCACATTACGTGAATACTGCGTAAAATTGAACGTCATTTTACTGCTCATTATAAAAAGTCAATTCAACTATAACGATGTGTATAGTTCAGGTTATGATTCAGTCATTTTTCTTATCTGACTCTGCAGGTCACCTCACCAGTTTCCTGTAATTATATGTGTTAAATACATGTCATAACAATTCATTCTCTGCTTGATTTTAATTCTTTTGTTTCCCTGCGATTATTTTTCCTGAATAGAGATGCGTACTCTCATCAGGGAGCGAGACCCAAACGAGCTGAATCAACAGGCGCCTTGCCAAATGACTATGGCGTAATACAGCATGAAGTTTTACATGACACTCCAATCAGGAATGACCTAGACAATCACCATGACAACCACCATCATAGCAACCACAAGAGCCAGGAGAGGAAAAATAGAAATGAGAACCGAAATCAGTCTCATGATATTATACCAGATAAAGATTCAAATCGAAATGGATTATCCAGAAGTCCGAGCAAATGTTCAGATAAAAGTGGCTCTTGTCGGTCTGTGCGTTTCGAAGACGAGAACGGGCCTAAACCGAAGCCCAGGCGTAAAACATCTAAACCTAAGGAGGCTGATTATTTTGATGATGATGTTTTTGAGCAGCCTGGGGAGTCTCAAAGGACTACAGGGTCAGGTTCCCGAACAAACATGACATCATTTTCAAATCCTTATGCTGACATGGAACTATACTACCAGGATCATCAAAGGCGGAAAAGTGCCAGTCGGAAAAAGAATGTGGACAATTTATACAAGGAAACTAATGGAGAAATATTTTCGGATGGAGATTATAATGGGATAAGTCATTCCAGGGTATCAGGATTAATTCAAGAGAATCCATATGAGGAATTACCATCTCGGACTCACAGTCGTAATTCCAATAGATCTCCAGAAAATATCTACACTGAAGTAGGGTATTCTAACCCTCATTTGGACCGAGCACTGGAAGAATCTAAAAGTAGAACAGTTAGAAGTCATGTGACAGGAAAACCACCAATAGGAAAAGGTGCTTCAAGGCCAAGAAGATCCACAGGTGAGTAGTAATGTGAATACAATTTTAGAATTGTTATTATATTTGAGATCTTTGAGACTACTGCAGTTAAACCAAAGTGAAAATACACCTCGTTCTTCGTGACCAATCAGAATGCTCCATTGTAAGACTTTATGCATTAAATTTCCTGTTTTCTCAAATCAAAATCTTTATTCCAATTCTGAATTGTAAGCAGAATTGTTGACAGAACACATTCAATGCCTTCAAAAGTTTTCTCAAAGTTTCTATCAACACACACACATCCATGCGTGTCCCGTGCTATATCTTTGATCAATTTCCTACAGATCTTGCATATACTTAACATCTTGGCCGATACCTGTGCATGTGTGATGATTTCATGATTGTGTCAAAGATGGCCGAATGGCGGCCATTTTCGTTGTGAAAAAAAAACATCAAAATTATGTATTTTTTTATGTCCTGCACCAGATCTTGGGCATATGTATTTCCATTTCTTCAAACTTTGAGTAAAGATTAACTATTATGGGGAGTTGGTTAATACAAGTCATTTAAATTTGTAAATTTATTGCTCAAGATGGCCGACTAGTGGTCATTTTGTTTCACACAAACTCTAATCCAGACATATATCTCATACATGCTTTGGCATGTACATCACAGCATACATACACACATATAACAATTTTGTCATCCGATCAAAAATGGTCAACTACTGACAATGTATTAGTTAAACAACGCTGAAATCAGATATTTTAACATGTTCAGAACCAGGTGTGTTTGATTTGCTTCAAACTTAGTAGAAGGAGTAATCGTGAGTGAAAGTTGATGCACATCACTGTGATTTAGTTTGCAGAATAACAGCCAACTCCTTCAATTCATCAAGTCATACAAGTATTGCAACATCATATCAGTTTTCTATATGCGTAATTTTTGTAACTATAAAATAGTAGTGTAATAGATGTTGAATTACATATGCACAGGACTACTGATAAGAGCAAAATTATTCATAAATGTGTATAGTTTTGAGCCTCAAAATTAGTTTAGAACAATTTGAACACCCAAGTAATGAGGGCGCGCTACATTTGAATGGAGTACTGAAATAAGTTGAAATTTGTCTCTCAGGTTATTGACAGTGATTATTAAGGCGCCCTCTAGTGGCAGGGTTGCACAATGATCTAGCAGAATTGCTTTTGATTTATATGATTGGTATAATAAGTTTGTTATCACCACTGAAACCATAATCATAATTATCTTTTCCTGATACGTTCAGGTAACTAAGAATCTAACTAAGAAAGGAATATTTACCCGACTAGATTTCTGCCTACCTGTAGTTAGCATCAAAATTTTTGGGAAATATTTCATTGCTTGAAGTATTTCAAATATCTCTCCAATATTTCATCATTACCATCACATATACCAGCTGTGATTGGTTAATCACATTTTCTCACGACTCGAAATTGACAAAGAGAAATTATTATAGACAAATTTACTTTGAAAATATACAAAGTTAGGTGGTCTTCATGGCACCTTAACTAACACTAATTTATACTATGATTTCAGTTATCCATACATTGATTTCTATTGTAGATTCCCAAAAGCAATACTCTCCTCCATCATCAAATGACCCAAGATATGCACAAGTTCAGAGGTCACAGAAGAGAGCAACTCCAACCCCACCACCGCCTCCGGAGTTTGGTGGCATGGCAACCTATTCACCGAGAAACAGCCAGGACTCGGGGTCCTTGAATAGCAACCCTTGTATTAGTGAGCATGATGAAAGTATCGTACCATTGGAATCTGACGCACCAACACTGCCGATGCGAGGTTATGTTAGGTGAGTTTGATGATTCTTTTAATAAAACGTTTTTCATAACACGTAAATTTATTTAAATGAGGACGATGCCTTCAAAATTACAATGATTTTATAACCAATCATACTATACAATACTTTATTTTAGCTGGAATTAATTAATTTGTATGGAATTTATTTTCACTGATTGTTGATGAGTTAAATGTGAAATATAGGAAAAAACATGTATTCGCTGGATTTTACTTTCATTTTTAGCGAAAGTAGCGAAAATAAATTCCAAGCGAAAATAAAGTATTCTACAGTAGTTCAATAAAATGCAATCAAGCACACTACTAATCATGCTGAAACATTGTTTGTTGTTTGTTTTTTCTCCAGTGATCTAGAAATGTATTCTGACATGACTGGGTCGAGGACTTCGCTCAACTCAAGGTCATCAGTTTCAGACAAAATTCAGAGTTTTGGAAAAGCTGCCAAAAAACGTTTCCATTCTTTGAGACGCGCAGTTAGTTTGGACCGACTGGATAATAAGGGTCATAGGTCAGACCAGATTTATGACACACCTAAGGTGAGATTTAATAATCTGCTATTTATTGTCCAGGGCACTCTTGTATGTGATACTGTGCCTATTTCATTGTCCCTGAACTTGCTTATTTGTTACATTTGCACAGAATATGCGCATGTGTTCTCGTGCCCCCAAAATGCATATACCGTATTACCCCGGGCACGCGCCCAGGGGCCTGAACGTACAAAATCGGGGAAAATTGGGGGTGGGCGCTTACCCGAGGACCACCCCAAAAAAGATTTTAAAAAGTTGTTTTTGTGATCGTATGATAAGGTCAAATAAAGGAATGCTTTCGTACACTTTGTACACGTACTTATTTCTTGATTTATGCGAGGTTTCAATAAACGTGAGCACTCGGTCAAGATCTGTGGGAACACTAAGACACAGGGTCGAATTTCAAGAATAAAACTTGTTTTATGTCAGCGAATGAAGTTGTATTACTCACTGAAATTGACTACAAACTATGGTAAATATTGTTATCAATGCACGGTTACATTTTTAGTAACCGTGATCAGTGCAAGTCGAAACGGCCGAGAAAAAACTACCGCTTGTAATCCAAGAAGGCGATGACCTAGTTAGCATAATTTTGTTCACGCACGTATTGATACATCGCATCGTAATTACTGAAGAATAGCAGACAGGGTTATGAAACAAATAAACCTTTTATTACTGATGTGAAATGTTTACAAACTATTGTGAATACATAAACATATCCAAATGGCGATACATAAAAAACAGACTGAAAATAAACTCTGGTCGACCTCATTAACATGATTTATTCACGCACCCACACACACACAAGACAAAATTATGATGCAACAAGTTCCCATCGTCGGCATGCCTCATTATGGTTATCGTAATGGACTTGAGGTCGGCAAAATGTGTTTTTCTCCAACGACAGAAAAATAATCCACATGACCGTAATGCCATAGCTGTGATGAGGGATGGAAAGAAAGTAGCAATGTCTCAAAAGTGCTAGCTCCCGTTCACAGTCAGCTGGCATCGGTGTCGCTGGGTGTATATAATAGAGGGAAGTTGTGCAACCAAATTTGCCGAGTTCGCAGTTTTTCGCCGATAAAAAAATAACTAAGGCAAAAACTCACGGTTTTTCAGCATTTTTGTAATAAAGACATTATCCTCTATCAATAATCCGCCCCAAATAGAAACATTTCCACTAATTCTTGTGTTTTTTCGACGTTTTTTGAAAAACCTGCGATTAGGCTGCGAAAGTAGAACATTCCGGAGGGGGTGAAACGGAAGAGCCAAACTTAACGCGTAAAAATAGAACGCGTATTTTGACCTCTACGTGGCCAACCAATGGCTGGACACGGATACGTTTTTGGTCGTTGCCAAAGAGCCTCGCGTCCATCGCCTGGCGATGCTCTTCCAATGAGTTTTTACGTAAAAACACAAACAAAACGGCCCTTTTCAGGGCCACCACACACTCCAAAAAGAGAACTACCGTAACAAACACACTGTTTAAATAAATCAAACGCGTTCGTTTTTGACAAATACAACTTTATTGTTGACCTAATTCTTGGCTAAAAATCACCCTGGGCGTTTAACCGAGGATGTCCCCAACATGTAACTTTTGTGAAAACAGGGGGGTGGGCGCTTGCCCAGGGAGGGGCGCGTGCCCGGGGTAATACGGTACATTCATTTGCCCCATTTGCATACATGTATATATTATGTTATCTCCCAAACATTTATGTACATTCTAATGATGTAGCCCCAAACATGCATATGTATTTCATTGGCCCAGAATATGCATAATGTATTCTATTGGTCCCAAACATACATATACATTCTGTTAAGCCCAGAATATTCATATATGTATTCTATTGGCTCCAATGATGCATATATATATTTTTAATCGGCCCAAAATATGCATATGTTTTCTATTCGGCCCAAAACATTCATGTACATTTCATTTGCCCAGAATATGCATATACACTCCATTGGCCCCAAACATGCATATGTATTCCATTGGCTTAGAATATGCATAATGTATTCTATTGGCCCAAACATGCATTTACATTCCATTGGCCCAGAATATGCCTATGTTGTGGCATTTGCAATTATAGTTTTAACTTGAAATTGAATCACTATATGCCATTGTGGAATCGGTTCAAATACAGCGCTTTGTAGTCATAAGTTTTAAGAAAACATATAGGTCAAAGGTCAATTGTGTACATTCCAACACATTGGATGACTTGTACCACACGACTCTGAAATATGTTAAAACAATTTGCATGCAAAATATGTATCATATTTTCAATAAATTTGTCATAATTTTTTCAGATGAAAAAGTCTCCATCTCTGAGATCGCTGACAAGTCGTATTGGTAGACGGAAAGAAAGTGATTATGACAGTTTTTATCAAAATGAACGAATGAAACAAGAGAAAAAGATGCAGCAGTAAGTTGTTTGTCTGTCCATCTGTCCATGTCTTATTCTTTAGCATTGATTTACCTGTATAGCATTATTTATCTGTGTTTGTGTCTGTCTATCCCTTCCTGAGAAGGTAACTCAGCTAACGAGGGAGATGCTGCATTTAGACATATTCTATAATTAGTGATCACAGTTAGTAAAACACTATCAATTTTAATTATAACAAGATGCCCCATAGTTTTGATGTTTGAAATATGTATTATTTCAGACATTTTTGCAACATGGTAAAATAAATAAAACAAAATTGTGACCTAGGCTGGTCAGTTGTAACCTCAAAAATGAGAAGTTAATACGCTCGTTCATGCATTTCTTGAAGTCTAAATTTCTTGATTGAGCACGAATAGCCCTTGCATCATTCTGTGATTATAATCTGATTGGTCGTTAGATGTAACCTTTGACCTAGAGGGTAGTTTGGCACTTTATATTCATCACAAGCATTTCCCATCCCGTCCCTCTGTTATTGCGCAATTGCTGTTTGTCTGTCCTATCATCAATAGTTTGTCTGTCTGTGTGTCTGCCTTTGTCTTTTTCGCGGTGTTGATTTACAACTATAGTTGTGTATCTATTTCAGAAGACCGGGGAGTGCACGTAGTGACAGGTCAATATCATCTAGAAAGAGTACAACATCATCAGTGACATCACCAAATCATCTACGAAAAGTTGGGAGGATTTTGAAAAGTAACGTGGACGGAACTCTGATTATTGAGTTAGTCAAACCGCCAAGTGGCCCGTTTGGGTTCTATATTGCAAGGGGAAATGAAAAATTTGGTCGAGGTAAGTTATTATTGGTTAATATTCAGCGAAAGTTATTGTAGTGTTTGCTATTATAGAGTAAAGGTATATCCTGATAAATTCGGTCTGCTAATTTGTGATGCTCATATCTCGATACTACTGATACGCTGCCCTCTAGTGTCTGATAGGTGTTAATTTCTTGACCAATGTCTGTGTTTCTTATTTCTTAAGGTATTTTCATATCTCGAATGAGTGATGGATATCCTGAAAAAATGTTTGCTGGATTAATGGGAATTGGAGACGAAATTCTAGAAATCAACGGTACTTCTCTTGTGAAGAAGACGCTTGATGATGTGTATGATGCGATGGCTGATCGGGATAGACTTGTCCTCAAAATCATGCCGTTGCTTTCGAGAAAGGACTGGTGATTGTAACCTCATCTCCACTGCAAACTGAGCCATAGTTTGTTTGTTTATTAAATCAAGTACATATTTCATTTCCACAATGCAGGTTTTATTAGTGGAACAAAATGTGGTGGAATTATCTATTGGAATATGCGTGGGCTGTTCAACTCAGAACTTTGGTAAAACATCTACGAAGTGTTTTTATGACTTTCGTTAAGGGTACCCATGTACACATGTCATGTATGTGCACTACAAAAAGAGATAATACTGTAATGTAGAAGTTAAGGTAGCAGTTAACAGGGGTAAAATATGTAAATTGATCTGTGATTCAAACATTCTCCAATGGTACCTTAGCATGCTACAATAATAACCATCTGAACGCTGAGAATGTCTAAAGGATTACCTGACGGCCAATTTCGTTACTGTCATTTTTTACTATTCTGTTTATTGAAGACACTGTTTTGTAACACTTCCAGTCACGCGAATTACCTGTGAATTACACAGTACGTTCTTGACTTTCTCGCCCAAATTTTTTCAGCACTTTGTATTGTTCTATCTTTTTGGAAATGAATCCTAATTTTGAAACCAATACACAAAATTTGAGTCAATTCTCCCAATCTTCTAAAGGAAATTGCAGACTATAAATGGTACTATTTTGTGAATTTGTGATGGAAAGAGGAACCCGGTGGTGAAAGGGTTAACGGTGTACGTTAGGGCTCACTAGCGAAATTGGTCAATAGGTAACCTCTAAGAGAAACATTGGTGTTACGTATCCACTACTGTATTCATCTAAACCTAAAAGTTTCTAATGATGTTATAAGTTGTTTTAGTAGCATGCTTTACTTTTAGAAAATATCTGAATCTCAACATTTTTTTGTGACCCATTTCATTCTGAGCACAGTAAGTAATAATCGCTTTAAGGTGGTGTTAAATCTAAAATATTTTTATCATTTTCTTTTAACTTATTCTCTATTTTACTGTACATATGGATTTTTTGTCTGCAACTTTATTTATGTCTGCGTATTTATTTGTAATTGTTTCAAAATGCTTTCCATTCTTGATGTAAATGAAATTATCTTCAGAATAACAATTGTGGATTCAAAAGGGAATCTGGATCTGGATTCAAAGGGGAATCTGGATCTGAGGATAACTTCAGCACTGTACAAATCAGTAGCTTTACTTTTAGAAGAAATGTGAATGTGGATTTAATTTGTTTTTCTCTATTTTTCATACCGGTATCCAAGGATTTTATAAGATGACAGTGTGATACAGGATGAAAACCCAAAAAGGACTTTATTTTATGCTTGAATTTCTCTTTTCATAGTTCGATGTCGAAATAAGGATCTTTCCGAAGGGGAATACAGCATTGAGTTACCATTACCAGTACTTCACATCAAAATTGGCCATCATCAAAAGTATACAACACATTATTTTGCATTTGTTGAATACCATGGGATGTTTTAACGTCACTGTGACCTTTGTTTGTTCCCTTTTGATCAATCTCACACATAACGCAGGGTTTCGGAGTGAACGAAAAACAGTTCAAAAAATCGTTACACAAGCTTACTTTCTAGAATTGCTATGCATATACATGTAAGTACATTTGTCAAAGCGCTGGTCGTGTTCATCTTGACTGTTTTTACTATTGGCTTTGCTTATTCACAAAGTGTAAATTATGTACGAATCGTGTTTTTGAACATTCACTGCATTCTGTAATGCCATTGGCTAGAGGGATTGGTTCTTTAGTTGCCATGCCAACAACTTCCCTGGCTGCTTTCTTACTGTATTGTATTGAGTTTTTTTTTTTTAAATGCAGGGTGTATTTAGCAATGTCCATTATATATCCATCCATATGCATATTTGCTGCCCATGTATATATATATATTTGATACCAGTTTTTATTTTAAAATTTTATTTCATTTCATAAAGTTTATTCTATTTAGGTCAGTGGTTCCATGATGAATTTGGAATTGATAAAAATTAATATTTAGCTGTAAATTTCTTCAAAGGAATTTTTTCAGTTTTGCAATCAACTTCACAATGCAGTTGAATGAATATTGTTTGTCTTGTAAAAATAAACTACCCGTACTTGAAAAATCATTTGCCAATCAATGCAACATTCGTTGTGATTGGATAACTAGTAAGCACTATGCATGTACTGCTTCTTGTGATTCGCTATCAGGTACAGCTAAACAAGGTGAACTTATCTACTGCCAGAAAATTCCCACCAAACACCAAATTTTACTGTAATTTCTAATTTATTAAAATTGGTACAAAATTAATCGGAATAGTGTTACAAAGTGATAATATTGTGGAATGTTTCCTTATGAGGCATTATCAGTGACAGTGACAGAGCTGCTTGAGCTGTCGTTTATCGATCAAGTTGATAAAGTTTGCCCCAAACCTTTCAATCCATATCTCAAACAACATCAGAGATCCTAGTAGCTACAAATAGTTACATTTATAGTCTGCTCTTGAGATGTTGCGAACAATTTTTAAAATTTTTTGATCAAAAACTAGAAGCGATGTCATATTTTGTCTGTATGGTCCAAAATTAAGATTGAATTCAGTGAAAATTACAAAAAATTTGAACAATTTTACCCAAATTCAAACTAGAAAAAAAAATTGCGCTTAAAGGGTTTAATAATATAGTTTGGCAAGTCAACTTTTGTCATTTTGAACAAAATAACCTGCATAAATTTATAACATATTTTGAAAATTATGATAAATTATAGAAATTCAAAAAAACAAAATGATGTTGAAATGATTAAAAAAGGTTTTAGTTCACGTCATTGACTTTGATATATTTACATTGTCTGAAAATTATAAACAAACCTTATTTTAGATGCTTCATTGCTGCCATGCTTTGAATGCCAAAATAACTTTTTGTCACTTTTTTTGAAAATAAACCTGCATAATTATTCCTATATTTTGTTTCAAAAAAAATAAATATAAAAATATGTCCATTTTGTCCACAATTAAAAAAAAATTCCTCAAAAAATGCATAAAAATGTTGCCCCTAACATTTTGGCGGGAAAAACTACTGTTTCAAAATTTGTTTTTAACTCCTGCCAACAATTTACAAATTATTCAATTCAACATTCCACTGATATTTTTATCAATTTCCTGACTATTGGTTGTGGTTGGACTACAATGTTGCAATGATATCACTTAAAGATTGCAGTTGCACGTTTGAGCATAAACTTTAGAAATACATGTATAATTCTAAGGTCTATGATTGAAAGATCTGAATATTCTGCATATTAATTAGCTTCATTTGAATATTAATTAACTATTTAGCATATTCCACTTATATTTTATATAAAAAAATACAAAATCTTTAGCAGTAGTTGGGTGGGAGTGAGTTTACATAATAAATATGTTTCTTGATGTCCGGTGGCATTGATGTAGCCTGACTGAGCGCTTTTCCATAAACTATCATACCTCCCTCCCACATACACTTTCAGCTCACTACTAATATTGTGTAAACAGGGACAACATTACATTCACAACTAATATGCTTTTAAAACTTTTATTCACCTTGAAAAGATAAAATATCATGATTGAAACATGACCTTAGATCAAAGTTCAGAGTTCATGAAACTTCTCATCCAATATGGCTGCCTGTTTTACTATCAAATATGTATGTATATATATAATTTCCAGCTGCATTGTTGACTCATTTTGGGGCTATTTGATAAGAATTTGTAAATTTATATTCTTCAGGCTGAATTGTATTTATTTAAAGGATACCAGTTAAGTTTTACACATTTTACTGTACAAATATACACATTCTTGAGATGTCATATCTTTTTAAAAATGCTATAACATTGTGTGTCTTTTATTTATGTCAAATTATTAAACTGAAAATCTCTTATTGAGAGAAGGGTATGTTGAAAATCTTAGAGGCTTGAAAAATGTGTGAGGAGGAAAATATTACATTTTATCTTACTATATTGTGATGTTTTTGTTTGTCACTAATTGACTGTGCTTCAGCGTAAGCATCAGTTTGAAATTTTGTGCTGTCTGGGGAAACCCTTTTTCAATGTTAGCTGAAGAGAGGTTGAATCCAATTTGTGCATAAATAGTCTGCAAACATTGCAGATGAAGACTGTTGTACAACATTCTGATCTACAATAAGATCCAAGTTTGGACTTTTTTTCCTATTTTCATTATTTTTTTTTTTTTTTTATACATTTTCTTTTACTTTATTTTTTTTAATTCATTATTCATTTGTTAGCATGTTTTAAAAAGTTTTGGTATTCAGAATGCCCAAATGTGGCAATAGTTAAAGTAATAAGACATACATAATAATCAAAAACAAAAAATATATACCCCGGTATTGTAAAAAATCATGCCCTACAATACATCATGTAACATGCAGATAACACACTTCGAGAGACACTCGTGTATGTTATTTACTGCATTCTTTTATTCCAAGTTCATACTATGGTAAGATATCAAAGATAAAATAAAACCTGTGTAGACAAAATATGTAAACACATCAATAAATACATTTGACTCGATGAAGTGGCAATAATTATACAATTAATTATTGCAATAAATACAATAGACTGTCTAGCTCAGGGACCACATGTACAGATTGATAGTTGCTTCTTTCGATTTAGTTAGTCTGTGAGTGTTTTATTATAATCGGTAGGGTTTTTTTTTCAGTTCTTCGTCAGGTTTCGCGTTCATGACGAAGAATTGGAAAAAAACTATACCGATTATAATAAAACGCTCACAGACGAACTAAAGCGAAAGCAGCAGCTACAGAACTGCAGCTAACATTTTGGCATCAGGGAGATATAAATACATATTTGTCAGATAAATAGAAATTTATGATGGTGGCAAACATAGTGCATGATAAATAAAAGTATATTTATCTAAGAAATCTCAGAAATGCAATATTTAGAAATATACAAAATAGCTCACCCTGACTAGAACAACTCTAATTTGCGTGAAATACAATGCTCTCCTCAGCTTCAGGTCGCCATTCACACAGCTCGAGCTCTATATGTCAAATACATGCAATTGCACACATTTTAGTAAATTATCAAAAAAAAATGTGTTTGACTGACAAAAAACTCATAAAAATGGGCATAGAATATATATCAAGAACTTTAGCAATGATATCCGAAAGGGATGTGACATTTAATATAAAGTAGAAGTACAATTCAGAAATGTCATAGACGATATGCATAAAGTTCAACACAAAATATAAAAATTTCGAAAATATTTTAAATAACAACTACAGTAACCTTAATTACAAAGATTAAACTTACCAGAAAAACCATCAAATGGTTTTCAAGCTTGGCCAAAATTTACAAACGGAATCAAATTTCATATCACATGACCACAGCACAAAAAGAGCTTTCTTAAAATTACAAAATACACTGAAATAATACATTACACATCCTCTAAAGAAATTCACAACAATAATAACAAATTTACAATGAATTACAAAAGTAGAAATATGTTAATATATGCGCAGGTGACAACCTTCCCGCTTTAATGTAAAAACTTCCCAGATAATGTTAGTGGGTCTTTACCATATCATCTATTTAGAATCACGTGAGCCTTTGTTTATATTTTAGACACCTGGTGGCTGTTGGTCTTCTTTACCCAGTGAACACTGGTGAACAAATGGTCATATAATTATCCCCAAAAGCAGTACGGGCAACCAAAAACTGACACAGTGACACTTGCGTGGAATAATAAGATTGTTAATTTGCAAGCAAGATTCATTAAAGGGTGGTGGTCATCGTGCTGTGCATGTTCATTTTGCATTCAAACATCCGCTCTTAATATTTATACAAACTGCCTGGTAATGAGAACAAGAAGTTATGTGTACCTTGGCATCCAAACAACAAAGTCTCCACCAACTTCAGATCACAAAATATGTTGTTGATGAAAAAAAAAAAACGTTTTGAAGGAGTTCAGAATACATTTTGGGTGTCCGCGGCTATTTGACAAATGTGTTCTACTATTTGTTCAGTACAAGCTGTCCGCATGTTGTATGTCAAGCGCTTCAGCATCTGAATAACATTAAACTCTCATCCGATCTATGGACAACTGAATATTGCACACACAAAAATCGAAGCAAGGATGTAATTGGTGGTTTTCAAATAACATATAATGAATTACAACTCATCATATGTGAATACTGTGTCATTATTGGTCAATGCATGGTCACATGGGGTGATATAGAATTACGCACATGAACTTTTCCGAAAGTGTCACAATACGGAATACCAATGAGCAACTAATATTTGTTGTTATTATAAATCATTGTGAATGTAATTGTGTTGACCACTGTTGTAGTGAACGTAAAGTGTCTAAAGGGGTGTTTACTGGGTAACTTTCGGGATACCTTAATCTAGAAGTGGTGTATGTGTTGGACACAAACAGACTGATTTTATATAGGCAATATTATCCGTCCATTTCGCCTTTGAGTATATGTATAACACTACGGTAAAGACTTTCTCCGTCAACATTGTGAAATTCTTTCGTTTTTATGCAGAAAAATACAGTGTTTTACCAATTATATTATATTTATTAAAGTTGTTGTTCATACATGAGTTGTTAAACACACTACATGCACATGCCTCCAAGTACCCTCGGCACACGGGTGTTCTTTCTTAAACTTTTTTTTATTTTGTTTTGTATATAATTTTTTTTTATTATTTCCAGTTCTATCTGTCTACAATCGACTTCGAAATAGTGAAGTTCCTGATTTTTCTTTTATACTAAGTACTAAGTGATTTTTTTATTTCATTTCTTGGACTGTTTTTTCGAGTTTAACATGTTTGTGTTCGTCTTTATTGTTATATGTTCTTCGTTAATAAATTCAAAGGTAAGTGTCAAATCGAAAGAATTGTTATTTATTCTATTATTTGGTTATTTCTTTGTCATGAAATCCGGTGGCTACGTCCTGCGATCCGTCCTGCGTCCCTGCTTGCAATGCAAAGCACGCCCTCAACCCTGTTTGAAAGAAGTATACTTGAGTAAAGTAACACGGACGTACAAACGACACTTCCTTGTTGTGTGTGTTGTGAGAAGTTTGTGCGCGTACCGCGATTGCCAGTATTTTCGTCTGCTTTAACACCAGATTTGCAGCATGGATCATAATAATCATATGATGATGGACACAGGCACGGGCATGCCACCTACTGCAGGGGAGAATATGTCAATGACAACGATGGTAAGAAAATCTATTTTTTCACAGTACTATTTCTTTGCAACTAGCGTCTGTTTGTAAGATCATCACATCAAAAAATGTTACCACCACGGAGCGTAGTTCGTGCTGTTTCTTGTTTGTGGTGAAACGACAACTTTTTTCTGGGAACTCCGGCCGATGTCGGTTGCTGCGATTTCCAGCTAATATCAACAATCCGGCCATGATTGAAGCAAATATAACCACCTCATGAAATGGCTTAATTTATAACAGTGGTCGTATTTTTCGTTTTGTATTTTTATCTTGGTCGGTCACCGGGGGTCAAGCTAGTGACCGATGGCATACGGCTATTACATTAAACACACTGAGTGTGCGGGGTTGCAAAATGTAAGAAAAATTTGCCCTTTTCACACGTGACACTGAAAATAGGCCACATCTTTAAGTGTTCTTGATTCAGTGTCACGTACGTACGTCACTGTGACGTTGACATATTTTTGTGGGCAGAGCTCCAGAAGGAGTACCTACACTTTATGCAATTTTTTAAAAATTATGCTAATTTATTCATGACGTAGCAGTTTCTGTGCTCATG